TATGTCTCACACTCAGATCCTATCCTTTTGAAAGGTGATGGGGTCGGTCCTGTTCTCCCTGGAATTCTGCTTGAGAGTGAAGACCAGAATCCCTGCACTGAGTCTCTCTCTTAGCGTCTTTACGCTCTTGACTCAGCTCAGAGGATCTCTACCCAGTTCCCCAGATCTAAGAAGTTGCTCTCTTGTGCCCAGGTTCCTCTGGAAGCATGCCACCTTGGAACAGTGTCTGCTTCGTATCTTTAGGCAGAGGGTGAGGGAAGGGAATGCATTTAAGGAGGAAAGTGATTGCATATTTCGTAGTGTCAGCCTGCCACATCTGTAACTGTTTTGTAATTGTAACTTTGCATCAGGGCCGTTTTAACACAGTACCAGCAGCATTTTGCCAGTAAGTGGTGGTCATTTTCATAGCTGCAAAATGCTTACTCTCTGAGTGACTGTAACATAGTTTAATTAACCACCCCCCTTTATTGGACATTGAGTTCCAATTTTTAGATATTAGACACAGCACTGCTGTAAGTTTGTGAGGTCTGAAAGAAAACTTTAACAAAAAGCCTGAGGAAGCAATTTTGTAAAATTGTTCTGAACCGCAGTGGATGAAGCGATTGTCTGCAGATGAAGGTCTGGAGCCCACTCGCTCTTAAGTTGTTTTTAAAATCATGAAGAATTCTGCCCACTAGGGGCTCCAGTTCTTGCCCTAAAATGATGGCTATCACCCGCATCCCCAACCCCCAACTTTTCTCTTCCTTGGCTTAAATCAGCCACAATTTTCTGGTTTGAGATTCAGGAGCCCCTTTTTCTACAACAGTGGAAATCTAAGCCATTTCTGCTAACCGGCCGGACGGTTTAAAAATTTCATCATTCAAGAAATTCAAGAACTGCTGCATTGTTAAAAGGCAAAGCCCTCAATATGGAGCGAACAGAGTCCTGAGAACAAGAAAACGTGGACATTCTGATTCCTACAGACTGAATTTGCAAGAATATTTTATCTGAAGATGAAGATCTGTATAGGACATTCTTCCTGTTTCCTACATAAGAGGCCTCTGTTTTGAGGTCATTTCTGTTCTTCTAAAACAGTGTTAAAGGGGAACCATCTTTTACAAACAGAATCACAAACACTTGGTGTTTAAGACCATCAGTATCACTCCAAAGTGGTGTTCACGTTTTATAGTTGTGAAGAAATGACTTACATGGGTCAGTAGCCATAAGAAAATAGGTATTTTGAAATAGTAAAAAATCAGAAACAATTTAAACACCCATCAATAGAGAACTGCTTAAATAGTATGGTAAAGATGTGGAATTCTGTATCACTTTGTTAGAAAATGGACAAGGTACAGACATACAGATAAAAATAACATTTGTAAAAGTGCTTATAGTATTCTAACATTTCCATAGAAGAAAAAATATATATTATATGTTAATATTATATATATACAATTATAAACATATATTTCATATATTAAATACATTTAATATATAAAATATATACACATATATATACTATATGTATATATATATATATTTTTTAAAATCATAGACTATTTCTGGAGGAACATGGAAAGTAATAGGAGTTGCCCTCAGGGAGGAGAAACAGTGCCTGGGGACAAAGGAAAGAGAGAATTTTGTTTTCATCATATAATCTTCTACTTCTTAAATTTTGTACTCTGAGCAATAGATTACCCACTAGGAAATAGAAGTTAATTGGTGATTCCTCAAAAGGCTAAATCTATAATAAATCTATGAGCCAGCAGTGCCATTCCTGGGTAAACACCCAGAAGAACTGCAAACAGGGACAGAGGTTCCATACGCCAGCGTTCACTGCAACGTGATTCACAGTAACCAAAAGGTGGAGACTGTCAATAGATGACTGGATGGATGAATTCAGATCCAGCTGCCCGTCAATAGATGACTAGATAAAATAAACATTTTCTGTTCTTGTTACATTTTATTGGCATCACGTTCATCTCTTTACAGAAGAACTTGGCCCACACCCTAGAATGTAGACCTTTGGAAAAAGGGGAAGTGCTCCGTTAAGCAAGCTACAATGCAGGGGCAGATCCTAGGGAGGGGGCAGAACTGCCAGGGTTCCATACCAAAGAAACAGGTTAATGAATAGTGGGCAATACTGGGAGTTGGTGGGGAAAAGGAGAAAAAGGTTTACTAACCTAAGGATACCACAACCCTGAAAGGAGTGCCTTCTAGAACAAAGGTAAAATCACTAGGACAGATCTGTTAGGATTTTCCTTTTCCTCTTATCAGTAGGATGCTGACCTAATAGGGGAGTTTCCAAGTATGGAGCAGTGGCGGGGGGGGGGGGGGGGCCGGAGGGGGGGGGGAAACGCAGGGGGAGGAAAAAATGAAAATTTTAATTTCTGAAACAACGGTCATTTCATTTATCCATTGCACACACCACTGTATTATGCAAATCAACCTTTTGGAAAATTTAGACACAGAAGGGAACTAGACAGTTTTCCCCCTGGAGAGATGAAAAGCTTTTTGGCTCTTAAGTCTTTGATAAAAGGCGTACATAATTCTTGTGTCTACTGTACAGAATACTGCCTCTAGCTGGATTTCTGAATTCATCCATCCGGCTCATCCTGTCTGCCCGTCAATAGATGACTGGATAAAATAACATGGGGTTACACCTACAATGCAGTATTATTCAGCCACAAGGAGGAAGGAATTTCTGATACATGGATGAATCTTGAGGACATTATTCTAAGTGGAATAAGTCATACACGAAAAGGACAAATGCTGTATTATTCCACTTAGATGAAATATCTAGAATGGCGAATTCACAGAGACACAAAGTAGAGAGGTTACGGGGGTTGGAGGGAGGGAAAATACAGGAGTTTTTGCTTAACAAGGAGTTTCTGTTTAGGCTCATGAAAAAGTTGTAGAAGTAGATATCATGACGGTTGCAAAATATATGAATGGAATTAATACCACTGAACGGTACACTTAAAAATGGTTAAGATGGCCAATTTTGTGTTACATTGTACCACAATAAAAATTCAAATAACATGGAATTTAAAGAAAAACTTAATTTTAACTTTTGCAGTTTCATCTCTTCTCTACCAGTGGCTTCCCAGAAACAAACCTGCTTCCAACCTGACCCCATTCTCCCAAAGCAGACAGTACTGCGTGCATCCTGTGTACAAGGATCCTCCATTGGGCACTGCCCAAAGTAGAAGGATACGGGGACACATGTCCTGGGTTTCGGGAGGGCTTATCCCTGGAGCCTAGGCAGCAGATCTGTGTGTTAACTATTGTGTAAAGCAAAAAGAATGCTGGCTAGACCTGCCTGCCCTGAGCCACAGGAGTGTAGAGGCAGGAGCAAACCAGCTTTAACTGGAAGATTCAGGATGGTTTGACGGAGGAAGGTGCCTTTCAGCCGCCCTGGAAGGGGAAGTGGGATTCTGTGAGCAGCAGGGGGCATTCTAGACTCAGAGGGCAGAGAACCAACCTTCCTTGGTGGGTAGGGACACCACTGAGCAAAGGGCAGTAGTCTGGCACTGGGCTGTGGGTCTGGGAAGATCCTACGGGAAGGCGATTCTAGAAGGGCAATTGAGGCCAGATGGTGCCCATTTCTAAGTGTCTGTTTAACTCATTTGGGCTTTTAAATGCTGGTAACAGGGAAATAGCTTAGGTATTCTTTCTGTTCTTCTCTCCCCACTGTCTAGTTTACCATTTAAGGATGTGAGCCTCTTACCTTATCAAACAGAGAACTTGGAAGAGTTTACATTTTTTTTTTAATTCATTTTTCCAACTCAAACTATGTTTGCCATCTAGTGATTAATTCATGCCATTGCAACAACCTAATTCAGGCGCCTTGTTCCTTAGCCTGGCAGTTAGGCTCACGGGCCTCTATACTCGTGGTGCTGGCCATTTCCTCCCTGAACTTCACTGGCCACGTGCCCTGATACAGACATCGGTGTTCGGACACACTCTCATGAAATCTGACCCCTCAGAGAGGAGGAGTAATATTCATGTGAAAGAGAAAGGTAGTTTTTTAGAAGAAAGTGATCCTTAGAAATTAAGTATAAGAAGAGTTTAAGTAGCAGCATCTTTGTGTGACCATGGATCGCTCCCATCTATGGACAAGATTTCTTGACCACATAGATAGCACAGTCATTCGCAGCTTTCCCCTCTCTCTTGTGTAGCTTATAAAAAAAGACAGGGACTTTAACAGCTGTGCTTCCCAATAGTGATACCCATTTGAACATAATTCTCCAAACGCTTACCTTTCTGAATGGAGACCAAAGTAAGTAGCCCCACCACCTTCTTCTATTTGTTACATCATTGAGTTAACAAAAACTACTCAAAGGCTTTTCTTTCAAAGACTGTCTTCAATCCACTGGAATAGGGGGCCAAGAAATGTTGGGTTTCATGTGTAGAGGATTTAAAAAATCATCAGTCACTCAGAATTCTTGAAGGGCCCAGATACGAAATTCTTTTGTAGCAGAACCAGTTTTCAGAGCCAAATCGCAATTTCTAAGCAATGATGATTTCTGCATTGGAAAGTGTACTGGGACCAGCATGTCTTCTGCCCCTGAGATTTAGGCTGTGGGAACTCACTGACTCAACAATCATTAACTGAATGACTGTTAACTGCTGGGCTTTGAGCAAGGCACTCGTGGATACAGCGTGTTAGATATAAAACTATTACCATGACATCTTTTTCAAAACTTTGTTATAACCCCCCACCCCACCTTCCATGGGATCCAAGCATGGGTTGCTTACAGTGGATTCTGTCCTCGGGAGAATTATGCTGCAGAGAGATAGTGAGCAGGGCTCCCCATTCTACTGCCAAGTTCAGCTTATTTCTTTTAGGCTGTTATGAAGTGTTACCTGGATAGCAGCTTCTGGCCTCCAATCCAGCAGCACCGTCCAAGCCCTGAAATGGGATAGAATCTATTATAGGAAGCCATTAGCTCAATCTCTCAAACCACGTGATCTGCCTGTCATTTTTTGGTGAATGGCTCTGCATCTGACTTTTGTAGGGAAAGCCAGAGATACCGGGTGTATGTGGTGATACCGCTGCTGCCAGGATTTGAAGGCGACATCTCCACGGGAGGAGGAAACGCCCTGCAGGCAATCATGCACTTCAACTACAGGTGCCAGAGCTCTAAAGTAGGCTCTTCTCAGCTTTGTATCAGTCACGCACGTAAGCTGGTGAAACGAATGGAAATGTTTCTCCACATCTATTCAGGGAGTGGTGAACAGATGAACGCTTTCTTTTACTTTTGGATCTTGGCCTGTTTACTAGTTGATAAAATTCAAATAGAGCCTAAAATTGTAAATGGCGGGCCTAGAACACATGGCAAATATAAAAAGAACTGAAATATAAATCTTTTATATTCATTGCCTATCCACAAGGCATGCATATACATATATCTTATAAAGGGTGACAAGGACTATATATATATGTATCTCCACACACAGACATATACACATAATAATATATGTAATATTGGTTCAGAAAGTATCTTGAAGCCACCACATAGTTATTGAGCTTTCCATAGTCTTTGAAGAAAAAAATTAAATGCTTAAAGTAGTATGATTTTCTATGTGTTTGTTTATGATTCTTTAGGTAGCAAGGTTTTCAGCAAGGTTGGTAATGATGACCTTTGCCAGTAAATGAAGTATGAAGGTTCTTTCCTAGCTCCTGGGATTTTAATTCTGCTTTCTCTGCCACAGCTTTGTAAAATTTAAAGGAAAGTATGAAATCCTGTTCTCAAAATTCTAAAAAGCAGAATTGCCATATTCACTCACAAAAAGCCTGTGAAGCGTCAGACTTGGCCAGTAGAGCATTAGGAGGGGGGTTGGGAGGTATGTCTGGTGAGGAGACGTAGAGAGGTGGTGTAGACAGTGATGGCTCCCTAACATTCTCTCTGGGTCCCTTAGCTGGGAAAGAGAATGGCAGTGAAGAGGTAAGTGGACAGGTTTGGGCATGAATCCCAGCTCCCAGTAACAAGCACTGTGACCTGAGATACCAAAGAGCTCTGCTCAGAATCATACTTGTTCTAAGTCAAAGCAAGGACAAGAACCTAGATATTTTCTTTTACTGTCCCTTATCTTTCAGAACCATCTGTAGATTCCCACCTTTCTAACCAAATCTTTTTGTTGGGGAGGGACTGAGGAGCCCTTACACAGAACTCCCAGTGTGTAAAGCAGATATGGTGGTCTTTTCTTTTTTAATCCTCTCATTTTTTTTACTTTTTGAGGTATGCCTGTTTGTCAGGATCTCAAGTAAAGATTTTTTTTTTTTTAAGTTTTTTTCTTGGGTAATTTTGCCTGGTTACAGTATGAGAAAACTTTATGCTTTGGTCTATATGCTTTGATTGAAGATTTGCCCACTTCTAATATTATCTGATTTATAACATGACAAACAAAGCTTTTCATGTATTTAAGGCACTGACATAATGTTTAATTGGATTTTATCCACTTCATTTGCCATTCTAATATTATTTTTGGAATATTGTCAATTGTAATTATTTTCGATGACTATTTTCTTGGGTTTGAACCAGCTGAGTCAAATAACATGCTTGGCTTTTGTTCAACTAAAATTCTAACCTTTTATTATGCAAAAACATCTCTATTTGCTGGCATCATCTTTAAGAATATCAGTATTTCCCAAGTGAAACTGTATTTTTAATTACTTTTTACAGAGCAAGCAGATGGAGCACAGAATTTTTTTTTGTTTTGTCAGTCTTTATAATTCATTGACTATTATCAGAGTGGTGAGAAACAAAATCATTAGCAGAGTCAGTTATTTGAAACTCTGTTTTTCACTTTTCAAGGCATTTGCCTTGGTATAGAGTTTAGCTCTGCAATTATTCTGCTAAGTGTTTGCCCTTTTAAAAACCTCTGAAAGAAACGTGAGTCTGTAAGTGCTCTCACCTGTTGAGGTATTCTAAATTTATCTTTGCTGTCACTGAATTTTCTAAGAGGGAAATTTCATTCATAGCCCATCTTTTTAAAATAGCACCTCTTTCTGAAATCTAACATCGATTTTATGACTTTTCCATTTCCCTACCTCAAAACAACTATCTTGTCCCATCAGTAATATTACAAAAGTGATATCCAGGTGGGCTTTTTTTTTAGCTTCTTAAAAATCCATGTAGCAACTTCTCATAAAAGCGCTTGCTCTGTTTTTACTGGGGGTAGGATGATGCTTCACAGATACTGCAGTTGAGATGGGTTCCTTTGAAGCCTCCATAATCATTTCTTTCCTTTACATGTGTTCAGGACCATGTGCAGAGGAGAAAATTCCATCCTTGGCCAGCTAAAAGCAAAGCGTAAGTAACAGCTTTTATTTTCCCCCATGGTCGTTTTTGGTGCCATATCCCTAAATCACTGATGTTTTCACAGTGTGATTGTGACACCCCATTCACAAAAGTTAGGCCACGAAGTGTTTAACTGAGACAAGTTACTTATTACATTGCCCAAAGCAAAGTTCAGATGAAGATGCCACAACTTCAGATGTGTAGGTTATAAAAAATAAGGGTATTTTTATTATTTTTTAATTTATTTATACTAATTATTCTGATAACAAATGAGATTTGTAAGGAACTTCACAAGGACCCCCCATGTGTCTTCTACTGCGGTCCTTCACCACAGCCCTGGGAAGTAAGCAGGACAGGTGTCATTTCTGCTTTAAAGCTGAGGGCACAAATGATGCAAGGCCAACAGGTCTTCACACTTGTCAGTTATGCAGAAGTCCCAACGTTGTCACAGTACTGTCTTATATTTAGGGAACAAAACTGATTTTATTTATTTATTTCGTTTATTTTAGACTAAATCTTTGATGGCATTATACTTAGAGGTAAATAAATCAGAAAGAAGCTCACAGTAATACCTTTCACTTCTGTAGTTCTTCGTATTTTCAAAGGCTCTTTCTCAGTTATCTTTTTTTTTAAGATTTTATTTATTTATTTGAGATAGAGAAAAAGAGAGCGCAAGCATGAGTGGGAGGAGGGGCAGAGGGAGAGGGAGAAGCAGATGCCCTTTTGAGCAGGGAGTCCTATGTGGGACTTGATCCCAGGGTTCTGGGATCATGATGTGACCCAAAGTCAGATGCTCAACCAACTGAACCACCCAGTTACCCCTCAGATATCTTCTTAATTGACCTTCTACATAGTTCCCACCTACCAGATATTATAACTATGGGTTTACTTATCTATATCTCCCGATACTAAGTTCAGCACATAGTAGGTTCTTGATAATGTTCTATACTTTGTACATTAGGTACAGAACGTTCCACAAGCAGTAAGATGGGATTAGAACCCAACTTGTCTGACTTCCAGTTCAGACTGGATATGGATTATGCAGACTTGGAGGGCCATATTAAAAAAGAACTAGATTTTATCCTGAAAAAGACAAGATAAGATTGGTGGAAGTCTCTGTTCCCTGGAGTGAACCTATTAATATGGTGCTTTATGCAAAGATTCACCTACTGTTGGTAAGCAAAATAGAGGGAGACTGGTCGTAGGCAAGAGATGATGATGTATCAGAATGTGGGGAGAGGGGCATCTGGGTAGCTCAGTCAGTTAAGCATCCAACTGTTGATTTCAGCTCAGATCGCAATCTTGGTGTCCTGGAATTGAGCCCCACATCATGCTCCATGCTCAGTGGGAGTCTACTTGAGGATTCTCCCTCTCCTTCTCCTCCTGCCTCCCCCTTCTCACACTCTCTTTCAAATAAATAAATCTTTTTTAAAAAAAGAGTGTGGGAGAGAATATTAGTCCTTCCATGTATGTATATTTTTCACTTAAAAATAAAGAATTGGAACATCAGCAGGAAGGCATAGTAAGGATATCCAAAAATCCACTTCTTCACATAAAAGCAACAAAAACACTGACAGAGATGGTTAAAATCAACTTTTTTAGAACTCTGGGAGTTAACCAAAGGCTTATAACACTCTGAGGAATGTTTGTTAAAAAAAAAAAAAAAAAAAAAGAAGAAGAAGAAGAAGGATGGCAAAATCTTTGTGGCATTTTAATTTGCCATATTCCCCTTACCCTCTCCTCAGTTCTACAGTAGCCTTGAAAATCAATCTCTTCATCACTGTGAAAACCAGCAGCCTATCAGCTCTCAGAGGAGCCATGGGTTTGAAGCTCCGATCCTCTGGAAGTTCTCAGGGAAGTGTCATAATGTGACCTGACAGTTTAAATGACTTTAAAAGACCTACTGTAACTGTGTGAATATAGTACAGTTTAACTATGTTCAAAGAACTAAAGGAAGTAACAGCTAAAAAACTAAAGAGAACAAAGAAACAATTTCTTTCCAAATAGAAAATGTTAAAAAAAGAATTTTTTTTTAAATGTTTCTATAAAATTTCTTTTTTAGGGGGAAAGGAGCCAATTATAAATTCTGGAGTTGAAAGGTGTAATAACTGAAATAAAATGTATAATAGATGAGTTTAGTGGTAGACTGAAGTAGGCAGAAAAATCAACAAACCTGAAGACAGAGCAATTGAAATTATATAGCCTGAGGAACAGATAGGAAAAAAAGAAGACAAATGAACAGAGCTTTGGAAACCTGTGAAACGCCATTGAACATAGCAACATATACATAATGGGAGTCCTAAAAAGAAAGGAGAGAAAAGTGTAAATAGGATATTTAAAGAAATAATGACTGAGGGGCACCTGGGTGGATCAGTCGGTTAAGCATCCAACTTGGTCTTGGCTCTGGTCATGATCTCAAGGTCGTGAGATCGAGCCCTGCAGCAACTCCCATGCTCAGCTGGGAATCTACTGGAGGTTCTCTCTCCCTCTTCTTCCCCCTCTGCCCTTCCCCACACTCATTCTCTCTCTCTCTCCTCTCTCCCTCTCTCTCAAATAAATAAAATCTTTTTAAAAAATGACTGAAAACTTCCCAAAATTAATGGGAAATATGAATCTATACATCCAAGATGTTCAACAAAATCCAACAAAGATACAGGAATCCATACCAGACTACATCATAATCAGACTATCCAAAGACAAAGATAAAAAGAGAATCTTGAAAGCAGCAAAAGAAGCAAATAATCAAACACACATCATCCTCTGTAAGTTAACAGCCAATTTCTTATCAGAAACCATGGAGTTCTGAGTGCACGGTGATGACATATTCAAAGTGCTGGAAGAAAAGACTATCAACCAAGAACTCTGTGTCCAGCAAAACTATCCTTCAAAAATGAAGGAGAAATTAAGGCATTTTCAGATAAGCAAAAACAGAGAATTTATCACTAGCAGACCTTCCCTACAAGAAATGCTAAAGGGAGCTCTCAGGCAGAAATGAAAAGTTACTGGGAAGAAACTGGAATCTTCACAGAGAAACAAAAAGCACAATGACAACTACTTAGGTAAATTAAAAAGACAGTATAGATATATTTTCTTTTTCTAAATTTTTTTCCTCCAATCAAAATTAAAAGACAGCTAACCAGAGCAGTAATTATAAATCTGTGTTGATGGGTATATAATTTTTAAAGATCTAATTTGTATGATGTTAATAGCATAAGAGAAGGGGAAGGGAATGGAGCTATGATGGTAATCCAAACTAGATTGTAATACCCAGGAAAACCGCTAATGAAATTCCTTTTAAAATATAGTGAAAGCAGGGGCTCCTGGGTGGCTTACTCAGTTATGCATCTGCCTTTGGCTCAGGTCGTAATCCCAGGGTCCTGGGATCGAGTCCCATGTCAGGCTCCTTGCTCAGCAGGGAGCCTGCTTCTCCCTCTGCCTGTAGCTCTGCCTGCTTGTTCTCTCTCTCTCTGTGTCAAATAAATAACTAAAGTCTTTCTTTTAAAAAAATTAAGAAAGAAGAAAGATCTCAAATCAATAACCGAACCCTGTACCTTAAGAAACTGGAAAAAGAAGAACAAATTAAACTCAAAGATAGCAGAATGAAGGAAATAATACAGATCAGAGGGGAGATAAATGAGAGAATGGAAGAACAATAAAATTATGAAAACAAACACTGATTTTTTGAAAAGATTGACAAAACTGACAAACCTTTAGCTATACTGACCAAGTACAAAAAGAGAAAACTCAAATTACAAAAAAAAAGGAGGATAAAAGAACACTACATAGAGTTATATGTCAACAAATTAGTTAACCTAGATAAGATGGACAAATTCCTAGAAAGACATAAACTATCAAAATTGACTCTAGAAGAAACTGAAACTTTGAATAGACTTATAATAAGCACAGAAATTGAGTAATCAAGAGTCTTCCTACAAAGAAAAGCCCAGACTCAGATGGCTTTGTGGGTGAATTCTACCATCCACAAAAGAGCACCAATTACTCATAAACCTTTTCCTCACAAAAAGGGAGAAGGAAATACTTCCAGCCCATCCTTTGAGACCAGTATTACCTTAGTATCAAATCTGAAGTCATTATAAGAGAAGAAAGCTACAGGCCAATATCTCTTATGGATACAGACACAAACTACCTCAGTGAAATATTACTAAACTGTATCTAGTAATATAAATACAAGTCAAAACTATGAGATACCACATCACACCACAACACAAGAAACAACAGATGTTGGTGAGGATGTAGAAAAAGGGGAACCCTCTTGCACTGTTGGAGAATGCAAACCAATGCAGCCAATCTAGAAAGGAGTATGGAGGTTCTTCAGAAAGTTAAAAATAGAACTACCCTATGATCCAGCAATTGCACTACTTAGGTATTTACCCAAAGAATACAAGAATACTAATTTAAAGGGATACATGCACCCTAATGTTTATAGCAGCATTATCTACAATAGCCAAATTATGGAAAGAGCCCAACTGTCCATCAGCTGATGAATGGATAAAGAAAATGTGGTATGTGTACACACACACATACACACACACAGGAATATTACTAAGCCATAAAAAATAATGAAACCTTGCCATTTGCAGTGACATGAATGGACCTAGAGAGTATAATGCTAAGTAGAATAACTCATAGAAAGACAAATACCATATGATTTCACTCATGTGGAATTTAAGAAACAAAACCAATGAGCAAAAGGAAAAAAGAGAGTCAAACCAAGAAACAAACTCTTAACTGTAGAGAGCTAACTGATGGTTACCAGAGGAGAGGTGAATGGAGAATGGGGGAGATAGGTTATGGGGATTAAGGATGGCACTTGTGATGAGCATAGTGTTGTATGGAAGTGTCGAATCACTATATTATACACCTGAAACTAATATTACACTATATGTTAACTAACTGGAATTTAAATGAAAACTTTAAAAAAATAGTACAGGCTCTCTGGAAAGCAGTTGGTGGTTTCCTATAAATTAAACATAGAGTAACCATGTAACCCA